GTTACAGGTCATTCAAGAAGGCACTCAAGCAAGGGTTTGAACCTACACCTGCTCAGCAAAACACCTGAGCACTTTGCAGGACAAAGTTTGCCGCAGGGCACCTTTGAGAATCATTTTTGCAAGGTACAGGCAGCGATTTGTACAGAGGGGCAAGAACCGAAACTGGTACAGAGACGAACTCCCAACCAGCCATATATATATAATGACAATCCAGTAGCAGGTCTGGCGAGGCTATATATATATATATATTGTCATATATTGTTATATATATGACAATCCAGTAGCAGGTCTGGCGAGGCTCTGCTACCTGTATGTAACAGAGCCGTGGCTAGAAAGCTGGCGGCAGCGTTTATGCGAAGACATACATGGCTTGCTAATAAAGTCAGACCTCGTGTTGGCCATTTGCATTACTGTTGAGCGGCTACAGGGGACACGAAATAGCTTTCCCGCAGGCCAGGGACAGCTATCAGTACCAATAACTAGATTTTGGTTCTGGCAAGAGGGCAGGGTGGGTCTGGAAACATGGTCCTCCAGCTGGCAAAGAACATCCCTGGAAGCCCTTTGCCAGGTTTCCAGCTTTATCTGTTGGCCCGTGTCAGCTCCAGCACCACTAGCCTTGGGAAAAGACCCCCCCATTCCCCTCTGGAAAGGGGGTGGGCCACTCACTTTTCCATCATTCGAGCGAAGGATGAATCCTCGAAAGCGGCAGAGCTAATGAGCAGGCAGCTCTTTTGCTGTGGAATATCTGAGAGCCGTCTGACAGCAGCGCCGAGGGGGATAGTCATGACAGCATATCCTGTGGGCCTGCCAGGAATGGAGCGCGTGGGTTTTCGTACTTAATCAGATTACTTAATTCACCTCTGAATCATCCCAGCCATCGACAGTTGGTTTATCTAGCCTCTGATCGGTGAAGCTGACCACAGGCCTAACAGCTTCGCTCAGCAGTGCCTCCCCCTCCATCTCGCAGTGGGGCGAGGATTAGTGCCAGGGGCTCGCCTTCCCCGGGCTCACTCAGCAGCTGAGTCAATCCGTGACTCTGCCCGGCGTGACACGGCGCCGCACTCGCGCCTGCTTTGTGGCTGTGCATTTCAGAGGGATGCTTTTGACTTCAGGCTCCTCCACGAGGGGAAACGGATAAGCAGATCTGAGAAACGGTGACTGAGCTAGATAACTCCCCCGTGTGGGCACTCCGTCCAGGACCGGAGCAACGTTGCTGGGGAGAAACGCTCCGCCTGGAGCAATAATTCCAAAACAAAGTCACTTGTCTCCCAGAATAGCTACAGCTCAAGAGTTATTCCACTACAGCCAGGCTGGATAATTTTCCTGTGCAGACACGGCCTGATGCAATGCCTGTCCAGGCTCAAATCCGCTTAACCGTATGACGAGCAGTCATTCCTGCCACACACTCCTCACAAGGCCTGGAAAGCATATGCATCCCGATCCCACCCAGGGAGACCACCTGTGTGTTTCTGGTGTAGGTATGTCCATAACAGCACGTAAAACTTCAGCCAAGCTTGACCGTTTCTGCTTTGGTAAGGGCACTGTATGTTGCATCTATTTTTTTTTTTAAGTTGGAGCACAGTACAGGGGCTAGATTGGAAGCTTCTGTGTCTGGAAAGGTGGAAAATGGTGAGCATGTAATTAAGTTTATGCTTGCTTGCTCTCCAGTGCTAGGATGCTAAGACTGGACTTTCAAGGTTACAAATTATCCTCACGAGGATGCAGGTGGCGGTGTGCTGCAGTGTGGTTTCTGACCCGAGTTATTTTGCAAAGGGGATCAGTGTGTCAGGAAAGCCGGTGGGTGTGCGAGTGCACACACGACAATACAGCAAATCTGCCCGCCTTTCATTCTTTCAATTTAGGAAAAAGGAACTGTTTGGTGAGAACCTGTTCTGAAACTAGAAAGCTGGGCCCTGGCTATTATGACCTGCACAGAAACTCGATCACACGAAGCCCCTGATCTTGGCAGGAGATGCACAGCAATAAGTAGCAGCTTTATGAGTAGTCTCCTTTGCCAGGGGACAATCAGCCAAGCTGCTATGGGATTTTTTTTTTATTATTATTATTATCATTTTAATAAGTAGGCCACAATGACAGTCTTGAGCAACTCGTTTCCACACATACTTATCGCCAAGCCTCCCTTAACCCCGCAGCACCCATTAAAAGCAAGGGAGACCAACTTTTCCAGTACAGGACGATACACAAAAACACCACCAGCTTTTGAACTGTTCGTGCTAGTGGGACTTTGTAAAGGCATCACTACCTCACTCCCATCAAGAGTTTGGCTGTACGCTCTGAAAGAAATACGGTTCTTTAAAAAGAATCTATTAAGCCTCTGCTCCTGACATGTGAAGTCTTTACCATTCCTCCTCCTGAATGGCAAAGCCAACACTTCAACTGCAGTGATTATAGCAAAGGCTGAAGAGATGCCCCAAGTTACAAACAAGTCACTTCGAAGCCCTCTTCTCCCCTCTCTCCAACCATGGCTCCTAAGAGAGAGGTGGTGTCCCTGTACACCTCACCTGATTAGACCACTGCTTGCAGCATGGTCCCATGTTGTTTTCCTGGGACAGCCCACACACAAAGGTTTGGCATGGCATCAAGTTTAAGGCTCGACAGAGGCGAAGGAAACACGTGCCTGACGCCCACAGGATTTCAATGGGATGCAGATGACTAACTCCAGGTGATGCCTTTGGAAATCACACCCCAAAACAACTCGCCCTCCCAGCCCTGCCTAGATGCCTCTTCTTGCACTGCCCTGGACGTCTCGACTCTGCCCAACCTGGCTCACATTCTCATCTGCACATGGCATACCTTTTCCAAACTGGCCCAACAAGCCACAACGCTCTTTTGACCCAACCCTTTGCCTACTCCTCCTGCAGACGAGCTCTCTGATGAACTATGGCCCAGATGAAACAGGTACAAATGACTGCAATGCAACACTCAAGAGTTACACATGCCTCAAGCTCGGGTGCTATGAAGACTCATGCTGGTAGACGGATCCACCCACGTGGCTCTCTTCAAGGAGCTAAGTCTTACCACACCACCTCTTGCTCTTCCTATGGTCTCCCTTGTGCTTCCACTCCCCTTTCCCTCTGTCTGTTGACCCTCACCTGTTGAATCACGTCTGGATTTAGGGCCGGACCCTACCGATGGATCGCAGCGGGCGCAGCCTTGACATGGTGCACTAAAGCCAAGGCAGCAAAGGAGTGAAGCAGATCCGCTGGCAAGTTCTAAGCACCCACAGGCAGGAACCCAGGGCCAGATCACACGAGCTGGTGTAAATTGGTGTAGCAATGCCGACGACAGGTAACAATCAGCTTTTGATCTCTTTGCGCTCAAGAGACTTCGTAACGGCTTCGCTATCTCCCTCCCCTCGTGAAACAGCCTCTCTCCTTTTAAATCCATAGCATTCCTGGTCTTCACCATCTATGCAGTGAAACATCTGCAGCCTTGGCACCTTACAAATGCCCACCGCTTACTTTACTAGGCTGGGGCAGGTCTTGGAGCACTTCCAATTCTAAACACCCCATCTTTATGAGACTCCAAAATGCCAGACAGGTGCCTCCCCCTGATCAGGCCTAGCCCCATTCATTAACACTGAACAAGTGCTGTGGGACCCCCAGGAACCAGGCACATTGTGTAAATACAATATTCCAAGTCCAGTAAATACAGCCACACGGGCAGTGAGAAGGAACATCGCCAAGCCAAGGAGGATGGCAAACCTTCTCACCCCCTGCTTGTTACTTGCTCAGCTCAGCACTGGGACCAGAATTAGCTGCATGTCTCCTCTACTAACAAGAAACAAATGCGGCCCGTGTTCTAGTTGCTGTGATCGGACAAAACAGACCAGGGTAAACACTATAAAAATGTACTGGGGGGAACCACCCTCTTTTTGCAGGAAGATGGGCTGGATAATCTAATAGGGCTTTTTTATCTCTAACTGATCCCTCTCAAAAGAGAAAAAAAAAAAAAAAAAAGAAGGGAAAATTGAGTCCAGTCCATGGTATTTGTCATGTGCTAAGTATTTTGATGCCATAACACTGCAGAAATCAATGGGAGCAGAGCTATCTATCTCCCAATCGGGATCTGTGCACAAGTGTTTCTTTTTATGGCAATGGATCATCATGAACTGCTTAGGTCAGTGATGTTATGGAGCAAGAAAGTGCAACATTAACCAGTTTTTCCATCCCACTCACCATGTTATCTAGAGAGATCCTCCCTTTGCATTCACTGCTCCTGCCATTAGTCTAAGTTCCCAGATGTTCAGGATTTGCCAGCATGTTTCTATTAGGCTAAAATGTGGATCAAGATGCTCAGAGCTGCCTAAGTTTTGGACAGTCGACTCCTTTAGGCAGTCCTGAAAAGCTCGGCAGCAACATTAACATCTACCCAGCCTTCTATGTGATTTCTTGATCACCAGTTCAAAGCCAGGCCACGTGCTGCTGACAGCCAAGAGTAAATTGCTGCCACCCAAAACCTCTTCTTGGGTGTCCATGTGAAAATGAAGCTGGAGGGCTCAGCTTGCCTCCCCAGAAACAAACGGCCGTGTCTGAGCATACATCACCACAAAACCACTGCCGTCATCAGCACGGTGCCAGCCATCTCAGGGAGGCCAAACTCCTAAATGTTGCATAAAGACTGAACCAATCTCCTCACCCAAGAGGGCTGGGAGTCTCAGAGTCATGAATCTGGCTGGCTTCACATGAGTCTGGCTGGCTGTGTCTTCTACCTGGACTGCATCTATTCTGTGCGAAAAGGGCCTTCAGTCTGCAGGGTCCTTCTCAACACCCAGAATAGCTTTTTGGTTCCTCCACTGGCATCCAAGTGGGAAGGCCTCACTGCAGACAGCTCACTCGGAAAGATAGGAAAGATCGTGGTATCACTGCATCACCCTAACCTGGGGCTTGTGGATAACGGGTGTTATAGGTGATGTTAATTCCTGCTGTTCCTCGGTCACAAGGAACAAACAGCTTCGTGCACCGCTTCCCTTCTCTTACCTGGTTTTTCCCCCGCCGCCGGTAATTTCTTCTCACAAGATTCTTGTAGTTTTCATTCTTCTTTGTCAGGTAGTAATAGAGGACGCAGTCCGCCACCGTCTGGAATGAGACATGGGACTTTAAGTGCACGGCCTTTTGGACACCCATGTTCTTGCCATGTGAACGGTGTGTGCCTGCATGCATGCTACGTTTGCAAGTGGCCCTGATGCAGCCGGGTTTCCTTCATTGGTTGGGAGATTACACAAGAGGAAACTCCCATGTGTATCCCAAGAGGCTTTCCCTCCAGACCTCAGCGTGGCCCAAACATGGCCTGAAATGCAGGTGGAGCTCTCAGCCATGGGAAAGAGCAAATGTGGATGTCAAGCCCAAATACATGCACGGGGCATACATGACCAGGTCCTGGCAGCAAGCCACTCCGTCTAAACAGCCAGCAAACTTCTACATGGCAAGCTGGGATCCCATCCTGTCAGCATGCCTCCCGCAGAGTACTTCCCAGGCATGGACAGGGAACTGAAGAGAAGTGGGTGGAAAAAAGCTTAAAACACCCTCATCAAAAGGTACAGGAGACCAAAATATCTGTTATGGTTACGACTTCCTAGCTTTCCGGCACTTCCTAGCTGATCCAGATACAGCATGAAAGCCTGGACGGAAAGGGCTGGTGACTAAATGCAGTGAAAGAAGGGGGTGTAAACTGCTTCTTGTGAGTCGGGGGTTCGGGTGCTAGGAGGGGGATGGGGTGGGACATTCATGGGAGGACAGAAGTGTCTATAAAACAGATTCTGAGCATGAATTGGCTTCTTTTCTTCAGTCCTGATCATGCACGCGCACACGCACACACTCAGTCAGCTGTGCCAAGAGCTAAGATCATGCTATACTATTAGGTTATTTAAGACACCATTTAAAGATCTATTAATTCATTATCTGGAGCCACACTTTGCGTCTCTCTCTGACTGCCATCACAACAGGATAATGGATGCATTCACCACTCTAATGACAGCTTGCTTTATACAAACAGGGAGCCATGTTATAGCTTGGTACCATCCAAGTCCCAGTACTCTCAGCTTCACGGCTACGGAAGAACTGGAAAGGCTGTAGCGAGATTCACAAGCCATGTGGTTCGCCAGGTTCCTAGAAGCCTCTTCTTCCATGGGCCTGCCATTCATCTGCTGCTTAGGACAGACGGCTGAGCTTTCCAGCCTGTTATTCCCAAACAGTCTCTCCTGCTGGAGTCAATTGGCTCAAGCTGAAAATCTACTTGACAGCCACTGAAGAGGCTCCTGCAGTCAGAACTGGGTTTGCTTTTCAGACAACCGTGATGCTAAGTAGCTGCTCTCGTTACAGCAGCATCCCCTCCTTAGCTGCCCCACTACTGAGCAGATAGCCTGGCTTGCCCTGGAGTGAGACAAAAGAGCTGCTATATTTGGGGGTGATGTTTCAAGACACCTCTTCTATTCATCCAATTATTGGGGCTGGGGATTGTCAGTCAGAGCAGCTCCTCGATGAATGTACTCATCTGCTGGCTGAGACAGGGCACCCTGCTTCAGTACCACGCGCTAAACAGGACAATTTCTGTTTCGTCCTGAGATGTGGCCATCTAGCTGAAGGGAGATGCCTACGTAAAGAAAAGCAACTGCTGCAGATTGAGCAGGGGGTGGCTGAGACACCAAAGCAGCAGGCGTGCAACATGCAAACGTCCCAAGAACCCGAGCTCCCAACCCGTTCGAGCTCACGGAGCCCCTCTTCTTTCCACCCCCATCCAAGACCATGTTGCGTGGGGTCTTCTGGACAAGACCATAGCAAACAGTGGCCTTGTATGCCCTCTACATACACGGTGGTCCCAAAGCACTTCTCAGAAACAAGGGTTTGCCTGGGCCAGTAATGACTCTTCCAATTAGCTGCAGCCTTGTCAGTAGTTATCTACCGCTCCCTGTCCCCTGTCCCTCCTGGCTGCTTTCCCATCGGGCCACAGGTATACAGGTTATGAATGGACTCCGAGTCCTTTAGGAAAGACGCTCTGGAGCAGCTGAACATGTTGCAAGGGAAGGTGCTGGAGAATGGAAGACGGCAGACAGACAAGTCACTTGGTATCCAAGTGTGCAGACTTACCTTCCTGTCCAGAAATGAAGCGATCAGCCCAAAATTCTTTGGATGCTGCATGAACCTACAAGAGCGAGACAGGGAGGGTTAGAGGGGGTGCCGGGAGGCGTCTCCGCTGCTTCTCCATGTTTGCCTTTCCGATCCCAAGCCCTGCCGCTGCGGCTGCCTCCGTACCCTCTGCGCTGGCACAGCCAGCCTCGCAGAGCCTGAAGTCCGAGAGGAACAGGGGGGCCGACTTTCTCAAGCGGCTCATTGGCTCGAACTGGTTTGAGAAAATATTTATTTGTCCTGCTGAGACGGCTTCCCAGAAAGACCAGACCTTAAATTTAGCCCATTCAAGTTCTGCTGGCTGGAAGGAGGAGAGGGTGGGAGGGAGGTCCTCATATTTCGGCTTCCATTCCCCGGATTTTCAGGGCAGGGAGTGGGAGGGCAGGGGAAATATGACAAGAAGCTTCAGCATCTTGAAGCCAAGAGCGCTGCACAGTTGTCTCTGGCGCTCCGTTATATCATATCCCAGCAAGGGCTAATAATTACCTCCTGTCTTGCCAGCCCCTCTGGGGCAGAAAACCATGATTGCTTCTAGCTTAGTGCCAAATAAATGAGAGAGAGCACGGGAGCTGGAGACAGGCAACAAATGGGTCCCCTGTTAAAATCAAATAAAATTAAAAAGTTTCTCCAACGAGTCCTGACAAATTACTGGGAAATCATCAGGCATAACTAAGATACTGCAGCACCGACAGAGACAGTGGGACGTGAAAGCCCTTATAGAAACCCGTGCTCCTAGGAGACATCCAGACATTAAACACGTCTCAGTAAAGAAGCCAAAGGGTCACCAGCCAACTTCCCCTCAGCTTTACATGGCCCAGGCAAGGGAGCCAGTGCCCTGGTGCCGACAGCCAGGGTTCACACCAGGATCTATACTGGGCCATGACATGGTTAAAATCTGCTGGCTAAAAAAATTGTCTGAACAGAGGCGTCTTCACTCCCCTCTACCAAACCCTGGCTCTCGGTGCTCGCTCAGGGCAGCACAGTGAGTAGCTGAGCTGCACAGCACCAAATGGAAAGCACAGCTTCGTCCCATGTGTTAGCTGGCAGTCAGGGGGGAGCCGCAGGATGAGGAGTGGTTGCACAAGAGGACTATGGAGGTTGTCCGGGGCTTCTGTGCCTTTGAGGAAGCCGCATCTGGTGGGCACAGGCTGTACCCGAGTGAGAGCAGCTAACAGATGCTCTGGGCACGCATGTTTCCCACAGGGGGAAGCTGCCTCCAGATGCAAAAGGAACCTCTCACCACAATGTCCTTTAACAAGGGGCTGTACAGCAAGGTAAAAAAAGTGCCTGGCCTAAACGTAGCCCTAGGCTGCAAAGGAAAAGCCAGCAGGTGCCTTAAAGGAACGTGAACTCAGCTGCGGAGCTCTCCCTTGCTCTGGATAGTCTGCGCTGAAATACAATCCTTTAGTCCCATGGCACCTCGGGCACTGGGACAGGAATCCAGCTCAGAGAAGTCCAGCACGATTCGCCCTGGCAGAAACATGCCCCCTTTCCAAGCCTGTGTTGCTCCCGGAGCAAGTGGCTCTAAAGATCCAACGTGACATAGTCAGCCCCGAGAGCCTTTACGGGGAACACAGTCACGGGACCTGAACACTCGCTGACAACCTGCGGAAAACCTCCCGCTAGCAAGACAGACGGGCAGTCTGCTGCATCCCATGAATGCAAAGGGCTGAGCATCTGCGTGGAACAGGCCTGCGGCTCAAAGCCCCAGGTCTGTCACTGCTTCCCTGAGAGGCCTGGAGCAAGCTGAGACGGGCTGCATCTCTTCCCACCACTGTGCAACTTGCTGAACTCCCAGGGGCATTCCTAGACCAATGCAGGTGCAAGACTCAGCCCCCGATTCTCATCTCCTCTGCACCAGCTTGACACCTGGGACAACGTTGACATCCCTGGAGTTACTCCTGACCCACACGCACCCAAGTGAGGTTATCGTTGGGCTCCAACTGCCCCGAGTCCCTAGAAGCAGCTTCAGCAGCAGCAGACTGAAATGTGGTCAGAGCTGCAGCCGGCACACAGCTTTTTGGGGGTGGAAAGCAAATGCCACCAGGGCACTGGGAACGTGGGAGGCAGTGAACAAGGAGAGTGGATCAGTGGGAACACACATCTCTGGAGCTTACAAGAAAGACACCTTTAAACTTCACCCATTTGCAGCTGCCAGCTTTGTTACATAAAGTGCCTTGAAGTGTGAATCTATACAAATTTAATGCCACACTCTGGAGAGCTGTTCTGTGGCACATGATTAAACAAGAAAAAACAAAAACAAAAAAAAAAAAAAACCCCAAAAAAAACAAAAAGGAAAAAAAAAAACCAAAACCCAGAAGGAGAAACAGAGATTCTCTCAGAAAGCGGGCTCACATCACAGCGCTGAAGCCTGGCTGTCATGTAGTACACGGCACAAATAAATGGCTGATCAAGGAATGTGGTTTTACTGCGGTTTTATAAATATGCATGACACTGGCACATTCAGAGCACAGCAATGCAAACAACAACGTGCCTTTCAAAGTCAGGGTTCGCCAGGCTCCTAGTGCTCAGAGGTACTTCTCTTGCCAGGGACAAGCTGTACTTTCAAAGAAAACCTTATTGTCACCAGCCTGGGTCACGCTCTCAGCCTGCGCAGGGGCTACCTTTCAAACCTTTCAATGATGTTCATGTGCAAGGCTGAGTACCAAGTCCCAGTCCTTAGCTGGGCCTTCTGGATGCTGCCACCGTGCAAAATAACGGAGAACACCTTACTGCTAATGGCAGCACATGGCCAATTTGGGGACATATTCAAAGCCTGAAAAAAGAAGGCAGGATGAAGCTTGAACCCCATGGTAATCTCTCTTGAGCTGGGCGTTTATTTGGTTAAATTTGCTTAGCTTCAAGACTGAAAGGGCTATTTCTAACTGCTGTGATGGGGACTGGGGCTGAGCGGGTTGAAGGGGAAGGATCCCAGTTAGTTTCCATGGGGTTGGGAGAGCGTTACAGACTGAAGTTTGGTTAAGCAACCATTTGCGGATGCCTTTAAATTGCGTTGTACGTGTGCAATGTGTTTTGCAATTCTGGGGCAAATATCTTGGTGGTTTAATAAAAGATGTCACCCCTACCCAGAATTCAGATTCCTTGCATTTTGCATGGCACACAATGGCAGAAATGAAACGATTGTGCTCACACAATGCGGTCACGCGTGGAGTTTTCCAGGGTTATTATCAAGGCAAGACCCACTGGGTGTTCCTTACATCGAAGCGCGAGTAATTACCCTGTTCACCATGGCAGAGCAATACTTGCAGGTCTGAGAGCATGTCAGATATTTTTAAAACAGCTAAAAAGTCACCAGAGTAATAAATAACCAAACCAAGGTCATCACAAAGGGCTTTTGTGCATCTGCAAGTGTTTTGTTTCAGCTGCCAGCAGGAGTAACCAGCGTGAAGAAGTTCCCTCAAAGGCACGCCTGGCACAGATAAAGCTGGGAGAGACCAGGTGTCTCACAAATAGTCTCATCCGGAAAAGTGTTCGCTGTAGTTTCCACTTCAGTGAGGGGCAGATAAGCACCAAAGCGGGGCTGTCCAACTCATTTTGCCCCGTGAGCTGGGCAAAGCACCGCTGACGGCACAGAGGCTCTGGAACGCAAGGGGCGGATGTCGCTGATGCTCATCTCTCTTTTTCCGGCTGCCAACCGCAGTTGCCTGCAATGACCCAAGGCCCTGAATGTGGCAGCTGGCAGGGACTGCATTCATCCCCCAAGTTTCAAAGCCGTGCCAATAAGCCTTGCAGGCCATAATGTAACCCCTTGCAGGCCACACGCAGCCCGTGGGCTGCCAACTGTACAGCCCTGGTCTAAATTACTGCCTGTTGGGACCGCGGCCATTAAACCTTGAGCTATCTGTTGCTGCCAAAGGAAGCTGGAGAAACTGCATTTTTCAAACCGCCTTTTGGAAATAATGGAAACCTGACCAAAAATAACCTCTGTGGCCTTCCTGGCAGAAAGTGGCCCCAGAGCTGTGGGCTGATGGCCCTCTCCCTGCCGGAGATCGGAATCGGAGAAGCAGGTCCGAATTCCCCAAAAGGGCACCTGTAGCTCTCCTTAGACAGAAGTTGTCCCAACCAAAGCTTGGCCTGAGAAGAGAAGATCCAACGTGGAAACATGGAGCAGGTACCTGCAGGGGACGGCAGCTGCCAGCTAGGTAAGCTCTGCGACAAGGCCAGAGCTATAAGGGAGGAGTGCAGTGGAAGGCAACTGGAAGATGAAACCCGTGGGTGTCTGGACAGATTAGTCTGACAATCCGAGTCCCAGGAGTCTCCCTAGACAACTGCAAAGCACGCGGTGCCCAACAGGACGGTAACCTGGTGTTAGCAGGATAAACGTGCAAGGCACCAAGTATCGTGTTTCGCTGACCTTCCCTTAACCCGGCCCGTTTAATGAGCTACGTGAAAGCATGAAATGAATTGTTTTTCCTAACAGAAAGAGCAGATTTCCAAGAGGACAGGTGCCCAGACCGTGTGCGAAGGGGCTGTGGTGAGGGTGTGCCAGCCCTGAAACTGTCCACGTTCACGTGCTAATTACAGACAGGGCACTGACTCTTTGCGTCTCAACAATTTAATTTTACCTCTGCGAAATCCACGCTGACCCATCATGACAACCTGGGCTTATTATTGAGTCTCATGACCACAAGAAGGGAGGGGGTAACTTCAGTAAGGAAAGATCAGAGTTAAAAAAAGGGGACTTAAACAATCCAGGGGGCTGGGAAGGGGGTGGCCAGTCCTATCCCTGGGTCTGGGAGTAAGTTTCTAAGTTATGACTGAACTTCCTCAATCGCTGGCCAGCTGCCTCTGCCCGAGATCGGCCCAGAGGCTGTCTGCCAATGTGAGAAAACCTTGTCTTGCATACACTGAGGACCCGTTTCACACCCCTATGCCCAGGACCAAACACGAGGCACGTCCACTGACCGTGCCACCTAGCCCAGAGATTTTTCCATTCTCACGTGCAGCATCTCCAGTGTTTTGTGCGCTCATGTTTTGCAAAGCCAAACCCTCATCCCAGCTACCCGGACACACTTCTCAGCCCTGCCCACGTCCCTTTTGCTAAACTCAGCTTATTCACTTTTCCTGGCACGGACAGACGGAGCTGTCCGTGGATTCACTTGAGTCACCAGTCTTTGCCTCCTACAGCACAGCAGCCATTTGAGCTACAGCAGGGAACCCGGCTGCCACAGCAAAGGACCCTGGGCTACCGCTGTTCACCACAACCAGCCTGTCTAAGCACTTCAGCGCCCAGCCCCAGAGTTGTTACCCCGTGATTTCCACTTGAAACTGTAAGAAGCGTCTTCGTTCTACTCACTTTTCCCGGAAGGTTTCCTTCTCCTGCTCACTCCACATGTTCATCACTTGCCGGTCTTTGTAGACCTTCATGGGGTCGTCCATGAGGCCGTTCATGTTGATGAATTTAATGCGCTGCTGGTCGGCATCGTACAGCATGGGGGGGATGACGGCGAGCTGGCGCATCTGCTTCTCCAGGTTCTGCGGGGAAAGCAGAGAACACCTTGTCAGCACTGTGGAGCCCGTGGGACAACTGCAAGGCACAGATGTTCCCAGGAAAAGGGCAAGAGAGGGAAGAAGAGGAGAATTCATAGGCCAAGGCAAGACAGCTTTACTGCTGGAGTAATTGTAAATTAAATGCTGAAGGCAGCTCTCGCCGTCAGATGGGAAACCATTCATCTTCCACTTGGAAGCAAAAGGCTTCTCAGACGCACCGCCTGACCCTAGGAAACCGAGCCACAGCAGTGAGGAGAGACGAGCAAAACCCCAGGGAGCCTTAAGGCTCGCTAACCCGCTGCGGCGGGAGGTTGGCTTTGCAAATAAAATCACAAGGGCAGCTCCAATCCCAGGGTGCAAGCGAAGGCGGGCCCAGTTCCCCGAGAGCCCCGGTCCGAGTGCCGCTTTGCTGAATGCAGAGTGCGGAGGAGGCGTCTGCCTCCCCTCGCATCTCAGGGATACGTTTTGGGGGAGGGCTTCCTAACATTGTTCTCCTATTCTTTCCTCTTTGCTATTGGGTTTGAAACTGAACTGAATGCACCAAGAGATGACTGCTTTAGCATACTAAGCTAAATCCCTGAGCTTGTTCTGCATGGGCTACCAAACGGGGCTGATTTCCATGTGGTACTGCTGCCCTGCATTTACAGGCATGCACTGCATTTTTCATGTATCCAGGTTGCAGCCGTAGTGGTCTACAGGCAAAAGGAATCAAAACACGTGGAAGAGGTGATATCTTTTATTAGACCGACTAGATATTTGCAAAACGAAGCGTTTTATGTATTTGCAAGCTTTCGGGTACACTTGCCCTTCATCAGGCACAGGAGAGGGTAGAGGTTACAAAACTTCCCCTTTCATCCATAGGAATTTTCATTTCTACCTGGGAGAACTGTTACAATCTCTGCTCTCTCCTATGCCTGACGAAGGGCAAGCGTGCCCAAAAGCTTGCAAATAAATAAAACCATTTGTTTGCAAATATCTAGTTGGTCTAATAAAAGAGATCACCTCTTCCACGCGTTTTGATTCCCGTTCTATTTTTCCTGGATCGGCCAATTGCGTTGTACGTGTGTCGCGTGTTTTGCAATTTTGGGGCAAATATCTCAGTGGCCTAATAAAAGATGTCACCCCTACCCACAATTCTGATTCCTTGCATTTTGCATGACACACAATGGCAGAAATGACATGATCACGCTCACACAACGCCGTCACGTGTGGAGTTTTCCAGGGCTATTATCTAGGCAAGACCCATTGGGTGCTGAGTACCATTGAGTAGCCACTGAGTACAAACACCAGCCCTCCAACAACATCAGTGAAAGACTCTCTCGGCCTCGTGGCATTTCTCCCCCTCTCTCAGGCAGGTTCTGATGTCTCCCTCTTGCTTTTTAATTCATGAGTAGGCCCGGTGGGCTCCAGTGCTGCTTGTCATGAGGGAAGACACCTACCCAAGGTGAGCAAGGGTCTCCTAATCTGACCCTAGTTGATTATGGGTCAAGGAAGCTCCACTGTGGGTGGCCATGTTCTGATCTAGATGTGTCACGGGGAGTTAATACCTTTGAAGATGTCAAACCTATAACAGAATAGAGAACGGCCAGCCTAGTGGTGGTCTGACTCTGCACAGGACCTCCCTGCTCCACTGTTCAAATGAGGCCTAAATACCATAGCCTGACATGGAAGGAGATATGGTTCCAGGAGCAAGTGCCAGGCAAAGAGCATTCAGCGGTCCACGGCACAGCACCCGGCCTTACATCTGGCCACAACGGTTGGGTTCACCACAGCCTCGAACCCTGATACAAAGCCTCAGGGTGGCAGTATCTCCCCTAAAAGCATTACTCCAAAAGCTAAAGGGAGGTTCTTGCATGGTGAGAGGCAAAAGCCAGTTCTCACTGCGATATGGGTTGGATCCTGACCAAAGCGGACCTGTAAAATGTGAGCAAAATGCAGTGAGCAGAAGCACGGTGCGGCAGTGAGGCTGTTAACACAAGTAACGCAGCAGGACCGCCACCAAGGCAGGGCACTGAGTTCACATCTCCTGCTTGGTGGTGGCAGAAATGCACACGTTGCACTTTCCACCCCTAGTCTCTCCTCAGGAGGAACGCTGTGCTGAATGGCGAGTGTGTGACGGGACTGCTTCCCTGCCTTAAACGCTGCACAAAGGCGAGTGGCTGCAAGGACCGTCTTACACTCTCCTCTGGGAAGAGATTTTTGGGTCCACAGAAAGATACCTGGGTGAGACTCAATGGCCTGCAATATGCAGGTCACAACAGATGCTCTGGTGGTCCCTCTCTAGCCTTACACCCTATGAAATGGTGAAGCTTCTCACTACAGCTGCGAGGGATACTCTCGATTGACTCTGCAACTGAGGACCAGCCCATTCCCTCTAGCCAAGGGCAGGGAGCGTAATGTCCTGCACGCACAGCAATCACCTCTATTGCTCTTCCCTCCCAACCCTGAGTCTATTCAATACAGTCTGCCATCAGTGGCAAGCCAGAGCAACCCTCATGAAACAAGATCCGAGAGACGCCAACGTCTGCGGGGTGTTTTGAGGATGAACAGAGCTCTCGCAGAAAGGCGACATGGCTCGCTAAGATACAAGCCACTCATTTAATGGGAATCCCTGTGCAAAACCATGGTTGCTATTAAAAAATAGCCCAGAAACCTGTGTTATTGCACCCACAGCAACGTATACTGACCACAGCTTGGTCTTTAAATTGAACCTGGCGCTGGTATTCAAGTTCCACTGGCAGGGCCTGCTGCGACTACAGACGGCCCCAAAGGGAAAGGGAACCGGGGGGGTGGAGGGGACATGCAGGGGAGAGAGGGAAGGAGGAACGGTGCTCGGGTCTCACCTCTTGCTCCGAGAGCCCGTCAATAATTTCCGACACCTCGTGTTCGCTGCGCGCAGCCGACATGGAGAGACCGCTGCCCCTCTGTCCTACCCTGCTGGGAAATGGCAGCGAGAAACTGAAAACGGCAAGCTGCATTTTGTACTTGGCACCCTGCCTCGCACACTGATGGTGACTACTTGCATTTGAAAGGGGAGCCAGCCCTGCTGAATGGAGGGACAGTCACAACAGTAAACAGAGGCCACTTTGAAAGGCAGGGGGAGGGGGAGGCATCAGGTGAGGGGCACAAGCCTCTCAGAGCGGTCTGGCTACAAAGCCTCTCCAATGATGTCCCCTACCTTCAAAAAAAACACCTGCACCACATGGGCAGCATGATGGACCCCAAACTTCAGCATCACAAGAACACAGGACTGACTCGAGTTAAAAGACTGCAAACCCCAAGACGCTAGTGGGTGTAGTGCTCCATGCCACATACAGCTCCACTAACTGCAATGGGACTAGCTGGGCTTACTGGTCACAAACACGGGCAGCATCAAGTCCTACAATGAGCGAACACCAAGCCAGCCCCTTACCCGTGTCACCTCCCACCCCCAGGACCGTCGACCTTGACGGATGGGTTAAAATCTCCCACCAGCTGCCTGCATCTTCATTCCGACTCTGGCATAAACTAAGGTCCCTTTTGTCCCCTCCATCTGGTGCCACTGCCTTTGGGTTGCAAAGCCTACTGGGAACCGTTTACACCGAAAGAAATCTTTAGGTGCAATTAAAAATAAAGTCGTTGCTGGGGAGAGTTTCAGTCCAGACAAAGGCATTTTGACAACCAAAATAGGAAACATCGTGAAAACTGTGAATACCAGATCGTTACGGCCTTACTAAACAGAAAACATCTTCATTTGGGGTCTAAAACATCTGGTTGCCCCCTTCCCTGCCTTTTAAGTTAGAAACAAGTCACAGAGAAGGAGGCTGCTGGGCAGAGCATTGGGAAGCACCAGCTCCGCTCGCCCCAAAGGTGGCGGGGGAACCTGGCAGCGTCCCACAACATGGCTTGGGTCCTGACTTGTGGCGGCATCTCAAGCCAACCGCCATCTGGTTTAAATAAGAAGGGGCTGGAGACAGGGAGTTTTGCAGCGAGAGGAGAACGGCCTTTAACCATCGACATAATTAACTCGCTGTGAGGCTGTCTGTACTGAGCTGGGCCGACTGGGGTGGGGCAGGGTAGACACGGCCCCAGCAGGTGCTTGGAGCAAGGAGCTACCCCGTGGTCAACCGGGAAATCAGGCAGGCCGGGAAGACAGGAATCGGGATTCTTAGCATTCCTTATCCTCGTCTTTGGTCTGAGCTACGCCGAGCCCCCACGGGGAGAGAGCAACCAAGCTATTTGCTCATTGGGCTCTGTCGTTCACGTACCCGACAGCTATCTCATTAGGGGGGGAAGGAGAAAGGGGCTCGTTTCCCCAAATGGGAATTTAAACCCGCCCTTAAAGCCCGGACCCTGTACAGAGGAAAGAGAAAGGCTGGCCGCTACGGGGCTCAGCCCTTTCCTACCGCTTATCCTCTAACCTCTGCATGCGCTCTTGCAGTTCCCGCTGCTTCCGGATCTCCGGGAACTGCTTCTCATAGTACTCGCGCACTTTGCTCTCCTTGGCGCGGCGCCGGGGGTTGTTCTCTATGCGCTCCACTTTCTTTTCCCAGGCTTCCATCAGCTGGTCGTAGCGCTGGCAAAACTTTTGTTCCTGAAAGGGCACAGGGGAGCGGGAGGTCAGAAAAAAAGTGCCCCCCACCCCCTCCTCACCGAGCAGCCCCACCAGGCCTTCCCTGCATCGCTGGGGGGGGGAGACGGAGGGGATGAGTCGTGCCTTGCAGAACAGAACGGGGTGGGTTAGGATGCTTACATGCCACGCAGGGCCGGAGACCAGAGAGAAAGGACAGGATGAGGTTCAGTGCTCTCGGTGGAAAGCATTTCCTCTTTGGAGGGAAGAAAGGTTTCCTCTCTGCCCAGGATCCACTCGCACCAGAGTGGGACTTTGCATCTGAGCATCTCCAAGCCCTTTATGCTATTCATTAATCAAAGCCCCCACGGAGCCAGATAAGCACAGGCTGGTTTCCAGATAAGGCAGATTAAGCGCACAAAAGGGCTCCTAGTTGGCCCAAGGTCACAAAGAGGCAGTATACACAGGGGCAGGAAGGGCTTTCCAGGCCCCCACTCTAACCATTGAGCCACATGTTTTCCTGCAGATGTGTGCCCACGTTTCCTCCTGCCTTCAGTCACCTTCACCCAGCTGCATCTGGTCACCTCCAAACCAAGGAGAACATGTGCACCTCTCCACCGCCCCTCCTGTCCCACTGACCAGGGCTGGACCTCGTTCTCAAGGCCCCGGGGCTCCTCCTTGCTTCCTCCTCTCCTGGCTCCAATTTTTCATCAGTTTTACCCCACTGTCAATTTACAGAGCGCACTGGAGTTACTCCCGATTTATACGGGCATGTGAGAAAGGAGAGTGAGGCCGGGAGCCAGCGTGCTCGGTGTGCCATGCTACACGAGCACCAAAAGAAGAGACTTGGCGGTAGGGGACTCGGGTTATGATTTGGGCAACCCGGGCTGGGTTCCTAAGACCGGTCACACAGCTCGAAGCCCTGCTCTCCCTTACAGGGTGGTACGAGGGTCACGGCATTAGAGTTTGGGAGGTGCTCAGAGCGTGCAAGTACCAGAGACAAATACACAGTTCTTTATATCCATGCCAGTATTTGTCCAGGACCACAGGAGCTCCTCAAAATCCAGCCCTACACCCCATCACTCCTGCTTTCATACAGGGGCTAGCACTTGTGACTGAAGTCAATGGAAGAGGCGAGTGGGTTTTATTTTACTGTTTTACGAGGCAGACGAAAAGCCAACCCCTGGCACACGCTGCCACCCCAGTGGCTTTATTAAAACCAGCTGTGGCATGCACTGCAGTCCCAGTGGATGGTTAGCATTGTCACTCCCTTGCATTAAAGTGGCACCCAGAGGCCCCTGGTGAGACAGGAGGCCCATTGCCTTGGGCAAGCCTGTATAAACACATCCCACAGTCCTCTGATGTCAATGGAAAAAAGTTCCTGCTGCCTTCAACCACCTTGAGAAAGAGCCTCTGCTCCGAAGAGCTTACAATCTAAATAGGTAAGGACTCAGGATCATAGGAAAGGAGAAAATCACCAAGTCTGGCCCTCGGTTCATGGCAGGATAACCCCTGATGAAGCCATCCTGGCCGAGTGCTGGTCTAATCCGCTCTTGAAAACTTCCAGAGATGGAGATCCCACGGGCTTTCTGGGCAGCCTTTTCCAACGCTTGACCACCCTGACAGTGCAAATCTCCAGCTTAAATTTCCTCTAGCCTAAACAGACAAGGCTGAGAAGGAAGCAGAGGCAAAATATTCCAGCTCCGCTATAGCTAACGCTCAAAAACTGGTGCATTCTCTTTCACTTAACATGAAAAATATCACCCCAAGTACAGTCCCCTCCGTATAAAACCCAGCTGGAGAAGGGCCGTGCCCAGGTGCCTGCAGAGCGCTCCTCTGCAGCACAAGCTTGCTGCGAACGGAGAGGCAGCGTGGAATGGCTGGGTTTCTCCCGGGGGCAGGTCAGAGCATCTCAGCAAACGTTGCTACCAAACTGACTCGCACCAAAAACCTGGCCAGCTCTGCAAAGCTTTTATGGCTCCTTTTCCTGACCTTTCCTCGCTGCAGCACGTCTAAATCGGAAAGAGGGGGGAACAACGAGAAAGAGGAAAAAAAACCCAACAGAACACCAGAGCCATCCCTCCAAGAGCGGAGTTGATCTTCTACGATGTGAAAAAGCAAATTAAAGCGTCAGCATTAGGTGCTGGCAGGCTTCCATGCCCTGTGGAGAGCATGCACACGCACACAGAGGAAGGACAAAGCCAACAGTATTTACAGAACTGCGGCCCGCTTCTTTGGGTGCTTCTGATAACACGAGGAGGAAGCCCCAGAACTGCGCTGTTTAAATTTAGAGCAGAGGGAAATAGGATGTTTGTGATGGCTAGGGTGGAGGAAGCCTCCCCCCCACCCCCCCCAAATAATTAGCACGGTCATCTCCTGCAGACTGCTTTCAGTCTTCAAGGCATTTCACCCACTGAGGTCTCAGTGAATGCACTGCTGTCCCCAGTCCCAGCACCACCTCACCACTTGGAGCTAATCCAGCGGTGCAGTAAAGATGGAGTCAGGCCCTAAGTGACTGGCTGAGACTCTTGCTTCAGCATCCTCCGCCCAACCCAGAGCTCAAGCAATGGCTGGCAGGCCTCTGCCATCTCACTTCTGGGAGGCATTTTTCCTCGCCTTGCGGGACACAAACGTATAGTGGGGTAGGTCTTGCTGCAGAGCGAGCCAACTGCACATCTCAAGGCACGTGCGGAAGAACAAGCGTGCAAGCACGAGGACAGGCCCGGCTGTCACCGCACCGTTGCGAGCAGCCCCAGGTGCTACCGATGAGTTCATAGACATGAGGGCTGGAAGGGACCTCGGAAGATCATCGAGTCCAGCCCCCTGCCCAGGGGCAGGAAGTCAGCTGGGGTCATAGGATCCCAGCAAGATAAGCATCCAAATTTCTCTCGAAGGAGTTCAGTGTGGGTGTTTGAAACGCACACCGTCACGCTCCAAGCGCTGGCGGGATTGACTGAGCAAGTCAGAGTTTTACAAGGGCTGCAGGCCGGATTCTGCACTAGCCCAGAGCAACTTAGTGAGGCTTCCTGCTAGCACATCCACCCACCCATCCGCATGGGTCTGTGACCCCTCCCAGCACCTCGCAAGCATTTCATGGGTTATACCCCCTTGCCTGCTTGCTCAGGCAGAGCCAAAGGCCTTGGAGAGGTGCATCATATTCTCACCTGTGGGCCTGGCTAGCTCACTCCTCACCCCCTTGCTGACAGCAGTCCAGGGGTTGCACCCATGTGAAACCCTGACCCAACAGCCAGCTGGGTCAAGCAGGGGCATCTTTGTTTGACTAGGTAAGCTGAGAGCACGGTATCGCCCTAAAAGAGCAAAGACAGGCCAGCCTCTAATGGAGACGCTTCAGTCCTTCGCGCTGGGGTCCAGAGCAAATATCGGGTCCACGTGAAGGCAAGGAGGCAGCCAACGGGGATTTTAAGGTTTCGTTCTGAGTGGAAAGAATGCATTCGAGGCCACAAATGAGGAAGCGAAAGCAGATGTCGCTTTATAAAAAAAAAAAAAAAAAAAAATCGATGGCAAGCCCCAAATCTCTCCCCTTTCCTCTACCCCTTCCCCTCTACTCTCCTGCACCCAGAACCATGGTCTGAGCTCTCTGGCCAGCCTCCAGAAAGCTCACCAGCAATGATTTTTCATTAGTCATGGTCCGGGGCACGGCAGCAAAAACACTGTGGATGGATTTCTTTGAGACCTGGAGTCTCCTCTCTATCAGCTTGTCCTCAAGGTGGGAGGAAAGTGTGAAGCTCAAAGACTTCCCGGGGGGTCTGCCCTGCTCAGATACCTCTCTCCTCTCAAAGGCCCTGTGCAAAGCCTTTGAGAAGGGAATCCTGGGGAATCCTGCGGGAATCTTTCGGATTGAGCCCCAAATCTCGACTCAGCCAGAGCAATGAATCATGCCCTTGCTCCTGTGCACATCCGGTCCCTGCTGCAGGGTGCTTTCGGAAGCAGCAAGTCGCTCAGAAACAAGCCAAGGCTTCTCTTGCAATGGCTCCACTCCCAGGTCACACCAGTAAAAGCATGATGCAGGCTTGGCTCTGAACGTACCTCCCCTACGCAGCACCCGTGTCTCAGACGGACCAGCAACTGTGGAGGCCACTGGGTCCAGGTGTGAGTGAGGACACGGCCGACCAGAGCTGTGCCTGGGCACGCTGGGACTGAGCGTGGCCCCACGTGTGGTGCTGCTTTGCTCAACATCATGGGCACAGCCAGATTTCAGCTCCTTAGTTTCTAGCAACAAGGCAGAAGGGAGAAAGGACCTAGCTCAAACTGGGTCAGATGTGCGACGCGGGCAAGCCGGAGCCTGTGCCTTGCAAGTTATTCCGGGCCCTGCGGTCCGTGCCCTGCAACCCGCAAAGGCAGGAGGCTCCTCGTCAACCCTGGTGGGGCTGCCGATCCCGTTCCCCTTTCACGTTCACACCATAGGCTCCTTGGGGCAGGAGCCAACACCTCCGCTCCCGAAGGGCAGGGGCTTGCCATCTAGACAGCCCAGCTTCGGGCACTTGTGCCTCTTTGGGGAAGCCGGAGGTGAAGAGGGGAGGTGCTGCCTTTTACCACTGTAACTGGGATGAAGTGCTGGGGTGAAAGGCAGGCCCGAGGCAGGATTCAGGTCTGGGCTGGACAGCGCAGCTCCAGCCTGGTTGAGCGGCTGCAGGGTAACAAGGGGGAACTGGCGCTTCTACTTCTGGTCACTTTGCTGCCCCGTGGGACAAGATGCAAGTGTTTCTTCTAGCCCAGGGATGACCAAACTTCAGCATGGGTGGCGGGGGCAGCCTCGGTGTGTGGCTCAAGGTAGATCGGGGAGGAGGTGGGCAGCACAGCAGGAAGCAGAAAGCAGAGCAAGAGATCAGGTAGGGAGCACCAAGTGCGGAGCAGAAAGCAGAGCAGCAGGATTGGGCAGGGGAAGGGGACAGGAATGGCACTTGAGGAGGCTGCTGGAAAGGTTGGTTCCCACTGCTCTAAACGGATGAGTGACGGGGCTCAGAGGGAAACTGGCTTCCTAGCCCCTCAGGCTGCCCCATCGG